AATTATTTAATTTTGTTCATTTTGGTTTGAAATTTATGAGAATTTTTATTACTAATTATTGAAAATTATAAAAATATTATAAAATATTTATTTTTATTTTATTATTTAGATCTGAGAAAATTATTTTTACTAAAAAATAATAATATTTTATTAAAATTATGTAAAAAAAGTAAAATAATAAATCTTGCGTATATATATTTTTATTATGTTAATTATTGTTTAATATATAAAAATAAATTAATAAGCTTTATTTTTTATATTTGATTTAGCTTTAAAAATTTATATATTTTACAAATAAAATAATTTATATGTAATAATTAATAATAGTAATTATTTTAAATTTACAAAAATAAAAATATAATTTAATAAATTAAATATATTAAAAATAATTAATAAATACTGCTATAAAAATATATTTATATGTATAAAATAAATAATTAAATTTTAAGGGTAAATAAGAAATAACTCATCTTTAAAAAAACTAATTTACCAAACACCTAAATTAGTTTTTTGACTTGTCAAACAGTAAATTAAAAGCTCTTAAAAAAGTTTATTTCTCAAATACCCTCTCAATCAAATTTATGAAAATTCATCTAAATTAATTAATAAAATTCATCAAACTCTATGAACTTTCTAAATTCTCCATAAATTTTTTAAAATCCAAAAAAAATAGATGAAATTTCAAATGAATACACCCCCTTAGTTTTTATATGAGATTATTTTTTGATAATATGTTTTGAATGAGACTAAAATTGAAAAAAATAAATAGAATTGGGACTAGTCTTGATTTTTGCTATATTATTTATTTCACATACATATATAAATATGTTTTGTATTGCAGTAGTTATTAATTATTTTAATATATTTTATTTACTAATAATTTTTATTTTTGTAAATTTTGAAATAATTAAAATAATTATATTTTATATTATTTATTTTATTTGTAAAATATATAAACTTGTTAAAATTAAAACATAATAGAAAGTATAAACATTATTAATTTATTTTTATACATAATTTTATGTTAAAAAATAAATAAAATAAAATAAATTTATTGAAAATTATAAATATAATAAATTAATTAAAGAGTAAACAAAATAATTATATATACACTATTCTCAATAAAATATATTATTTCATCCGTCCCACCGGATTAGTCCCATTTCGTTTTGACAAAGAGTTTAAGGAATACTGTATTATATAGTTAATTAGTTTGATTTAGTATTTATAATGCAATTTTGTTTCAATTATTTTTTATTAAATAATAAAAAAAACAAAATTTGAAATAATTTTTATTTAATTGTTTCATATTGAATATTTTATGTATTAAAATTAATTTTCAAAAAATATTATACCAATTATAAAATAATACAAGCACTTAAATAATTAAAATAAATAAATAATTTTTTATAAATTTTTCAAGGATCTAAACTCTCAATTTGGGGGTCAAATACCTCTCATCTCTACTGTAGATATCAAAGAACATGAGAAAAAGTCCGAAAAAAAAAAAATAATAATAATAAATAAATAAATAAATATAATTAACAATAAAAATAGAGCATTACTATAAAAAGTGTTAATTTAAGCAATATTTTACATAAAATTTTTCAAAAAATTTACTCCAAAAAATATTGATTGATTTTCTTTTGTGCTAGGAAGATGAAAATAAATGTGATGGGTGGGTATATATATATATTTTTTTTTATTTTTTTTTAAAAAAATTCAAATTTAAATTTCACTTTTCACATAAAATATAAAATTAAATTTTATTTATTTTTATTTTTTAGTTTACACTAAATTTGACATTAACATTTAAACATCATGGTAACATATCTTATATTACATCAATAATTATAAAAACTTAAAATTCAAATATGTAATTATTTTTATCTTTTAAAAGAAATTTAATTCAAATTCAAATTTCACTATTCATTAATTATTTTTTTCCAAAATGTCAAATTAATTACTTACTACTTTTTATTAAATTAAAATTAATTTAAAAATAAAATATCAAATCAATATCTATTTATATAATATCAAATAATTATTGAAATTATAATTTTATTATTTAAAATTCAAATTAACTATTATACAAATCTCAGAGATATAAGTGTTAATAGTTATAAAATATAATTAAATTTTAAATTGAAATTATTAGAAGTTAATTATTACCTTTAAGAAAAACGAGACTAATTCGGTAGGACGGCAAAAAAAGAAAAATAAAATTAATTCGGTGGGAGGGAGAAAGTAATATTTTTAATAAAATATTATGTTTTTCAAATAAAAAAATAATAAATAATAATACTTTTAAGGGAAAAAAATTATTTTTTATTCTAATATAAAAATCTTATCAATTTTGCTCTCGATATAAAAATTTTATCAATTTTAATCTCAATATTACAAAAACTCATCATTTTTTGTCTCAATATAATCAAATTTTATCTTTTTTTTTGTCCCACCATCAACCAACTGACGGAAAATACTGACGTGAAAAAAAAATCAAACCTTATATTTATATTTGAAGAATTGCATAATCTTACAAGTCTACGTCAGCATTTTCCGTCGGTTTGTTGACGGTGAGACAAAAAAAAGATAAAGTTTGATTATATTCGGACAAAAAATGATGATTTTGATTATATTGAAACTAAAATTGATAAAAATTTTATATTGAGACCAAGAATAATGAGTTTTGGTTATATTATGACCAAAATTGATAAAATTTTTATATTGTAACTAAAATTGATAAATTTTGTTTATATTGGAACCAAAAATAATTTTTTTCTCTACTTTTAAAATTTCTAAACCTAAAACAATACAATTAAATATGTTGAAAAAGTAAATATAAATATCCTTCATTATTATTTTACTAGGTATAAAACAGTTAGGGTGTGTTTGTTTGGGAGTTTGAATTTTGAGTTGGGATTTGAATAGTAAAAATTTTGAATTTGAATAGTTGTATGATGTGATATAAATAGGTGTTGATATGATGTTTTGAATGTAAAATTGATTTTCAGTATAATATAGAAAATAAATAATAAGTGTTTTATTTGATATTTTTAGAGGTAAAATGGGATGAATAGTAGAAATCTTTACAAATCCTTCCAAAAAACACACCCTTAGTTATTTTACCAAACCTACCTTTTAACTGACAGCTAAAAACTACTCCCTGTGAAATTAGTTCACTTTCTTTTCGACACGCAATTTAAGAAATATTATATTACAGAGTTTATTAATTTGATTTGTTGATGTAATTAAATTTATTTTAAATATTTTTTATTTTAATTTTTAAATATTGAATTTTTTTTATTTATTTATTGAAATGATTGAAAAATAGTAATAATAATTGTATATATTGTAAATCAATATATGTAATTAGATTAAAAAAAAAAATTAATAGTTTAAATGTAATTAATACAATAAAAAATGTATGGTTTTGTTCTTTCTAAAATTTTTGCCTAACATGTTTTCCCAAAAAAATTAAAATATTACACATGTTCATTATTTTTATATTTTGTACACAGTTTCTTATAATAAAAAAATTTCTTTCCAACAATCTCACAAAACAAATACATCTTACATAATAACAATTTTACATAAAAAATACATAAAATTTTACGAATTTGATTGTTGTTAGAAATAGTTCGTTATGACACATCAAATGTAATGCCACATTGTATACGGTATCAGAGTTTTTGGTATGATATTTTACCATGCCAATGCCGTATAAATATTTTGGTATACCGAATTTATAAATAAAAATATTGAATTGCGTAAATAACATTCATACTCATAGAAAAAAATATCAAAAAAAAAAAATTAAATTTCCAGTACGATATGTTTTTTTTTCTTTGGTATAATAACGATATACACGATATTCTCAGTATATATAAATAATAAAAAAAATCGATATTTTTGTATATACCGAATATTCGATATAATAACGATATTTTTTTAATAATTTAAAAAATTTGATACGGTGTACAATATAGTTCGATATACCTTCTCAAACTATCTCTAATTGAATTGTATACACGGTATTAGAATATAATATATTACGGTAAAATACCAAAATAAAAAATAATTTTATAATTTTGCATGATAAATAACTTTTATGTTTTTAATTTTTTTGAATAAAGAAAAAAAAAATTCAAAATCAAATCTCATTTTTAATTAATTTTTCGGCCATAATTTTTCAAATCAAACTTCAATTTTTTGTATTACATTATAAATTAATTTAAAAAATTTAAAATTAGATTAATACTTATTTATATCATATCAAATATTTATTTTATTTTTATTATTCAAAATTTTAGCCCAACTTCTAAATTTACAACTAAACAAATAGTAAAACTAAATATATTTGTAAGTTAATAGAATATGGTTAAGTTTGTCAATCATAAGTATTAGTTATTAATTATTTACTATAATAGAAAAGTGAACTAATTCGGTGAGACGGCTAAAAAAGAAAAGTTGGACTAATTTGGTGAGACGAAGAGAGCATGAGCTAAGTTGCATGAGAAGTTTGTGATGATCGAGGTGGATAGAACATAACATTATTCATTTTATCTGACTATATGATAATCTTGTGCCATTGATTGCATATTTGGATTACATGACAATATTTTCTTTCTAATTTGTGACAAACCCTTTTAGGAAGCATCATTAACCAAAATGCATGCTTGGGCCCCTATCAACTTATAGCTTTAAGGCTTCATTCCCATGGCTTTACACTCCAAACCTCAATTTTGTAGGGTATATTAATTTGATCCGATCAAATCAGCATTATATTAATATAAATTGTATATCGTCTATCTATTTGTTATGCACTATCCATGTATATTTAATGTGTTGTCATTTGACACCCTAACGCAACCTAGATATATATATATATATGTGTGTGTGTGTAAGATAATAAATCTCAAACATTTACCTCATTTAGCATTTAAGGAGATGCTTTTCTTGTTCTGCCTAACATTTTATTTGTTCGCATATAATATCTATTTTCCATTTGAACCAGAAGAGTGTTCAACATCGACCTTCGGGTGATCTAACACCAAGAAAATAAACTAATACAAGTTATTAATCAACATAAGCATAGGTGCAAGGAAATCATCCCCGAGTTTTGGTGCATTTTAGAGCATACTATGGTTCTTAGCGCTACATATTAATAGGCTGATAGCATAAGTCAAGCAACCGCATAATTTTTAAGAAAGAAGCAGATGTAAGCTGTCTATTGCCAAGAAATGTCGTAAAAAGTATGGTGCACAACGTACTTGGCAATGAGGTTTGGTCTCTGGGAGTGGATGGATAGTTGATCAGACCTTTCTGATGAGAATGAACAGCTTCTGGTCGAGTTCAAATCTAGAAGCAATGGAAGGGTCCCCTTTGAGCATCATCAGAAGTCCACCAAACGATACGTATATGTCCCTGAAAGTTCAGAATTTTGCAATAAGGTGACTTTAAATCGAGCACTGCTGCAGTAAATATTGTGCAGATGGCATAAGCAATTGAAATAAATAAATATTGCTACCGGAGCTGTTTTCCATCATCTATAAGAGGGCTGTTGCACACATGAAAATATTAATTTCCCATACATAGAATTGCATCTCACGACTATTTTCTATTAATAATTTCCAAATCCAAAGTAGCCTGTGTTTGCTTCCTAACAAACCAAAATGATTAGCTACTGATTTGTGTACTATTTTCTCAAGTGATCTAGTAAAAGTAAGGCTCTGTTTAGACAAATACTTTTGGTGTATTGGAGTTTTGAAAGAATTTGAAAATAGTACAAAGTTTGTATTTGATGTGATATTCGTGAGAAAGAATAAGTGTTTGATGTGATGCTTTTTAAAAATAAAAAATAAAAATAATGTTGATGAATAACCAAAACTTCCAAAAATGTGTAAGCGGAACATCACTTAAATTGTTATGAACTAGCAAGAGGAACCAAATAAGTATGTTAAGATGGAGACTTACGCTTTAACCTGCTTGTCTCGGCTTTCCTCTGAAATTCTGTACAGTTTCCCTTGCATGACATAGTCAAACTTGTCTGCTAGAGATTTCCTGTTACCCTGGATCGAATTTCAATTGCAACCTTTTTAATCATCCAGTCTTCAAAGATCTTTCAAGAAAATGATTGTTACAAGTGATTGGAAATTCTTTCAGAATAACAGAATGGAAATTATATAGAAGACTCAATAAAGATAAAACAGCCTTGCACACGAAAAAACTTCAGTAGAACATCAGACTTGCAAAATCTAATGTTTTGTGGCATGAGAGAGAGAGAATACCGGAGTGTAGTAACCACTATCTGGTGTTCCGTCCAAGTTCAGAGTGGATGCTAAAACCATCATGAATTTCTCTCCAGCGCGCATGGGATATATCTCCGTATTAATATCGAGGTGCAAGAGCATGTCAAACTGCTCGCTCCTAGCAGCAATGCGAGACACTGACGATAACACAAAAACCGTAAGATAAAAGTTTATGCATGGCATAAAGCATGTCAAGATGAAAGTGAAAGTGCACATATAATCGAATACTAACAGTTTTTAGTAAAATGCATCAGACAGTCAGAGTGCTTAATCTATAATCCATAACTTGAAAATGAAAGTATTACCGTTGCTGCTCAGCCCAAAATTAAAGAAAAGAAAAAGGCATAGGACCTTCGCTACTCAATAAAGTAGTAAATTGAATGAGTTATTTGTCAGCTTAGTCGTTAATTCATTTGAATATGATAGAAGCTCTGGTTAACAAGTTAAACAAGCTGAGCTTAAATACATTTCATAACTTACTACTTGAGGAGTTTCACGAACATTTGATATTGATTATTAGGGGACATAATATGCGGTTATACCAAGATACAATTAGTCCCACTTATCATTAACTCATTTCGCTCGCCAAAGTTTCATTCCATCATTACTTCATCTAACACTCATTTGATTCAGACCATTTAACCTAAACTGTTTAGTGCGGCTCATTTATGCGAAACTTAGTTGAAAACAAAAGCTGATTTGAACCATCAGTTAACGGGCCAAACTAAAACAGCTTATTCAACTCATTCCACTGTATAAAAAAATTCAATGAAAGCCCTGCTCAGATAGACTCGTTAATAACTCTATTAGTCACATTTTTACAAACAATAGAACACCAACCATTGCCTCATACAAGTACAACAAAACCGAACAAACAAAAATTTAATATCTGAGCTAACTGTTGCACTAAGCGCAAAAGCTTACTACACCCTTATCGTTTTTATATAGTTGATTAGTTTATCAAAGCCATCAAATGCTCCACACACCAAACACCTCCAACTTTTCGGCTCACCAGCTGAACTAATTCAACAAATTGTCAAGCATCACTATATATTTTCGACACCTTTTAGAACTTCAAAATACTCAAGATACAAACCCTAAGTTCTCACACAGTATCTGGAATTTACAGGAATACATGAACAGCTACGAATCTCAACGTAATCTTGCTAAGAAATAAAATCAACAAATTAGCACACACCTAAATCCCTCAGAAGCACACACAAGTCTAAAAAACACGCTGCTCGTAAGGACTAGACGCAATTGGTGAGAGAAATGAAACCTTTATCAAACTTCTTCCCGTCCGGATCCAAGGCGTCGACACGAAAAATGTCCTCGAAAAGCGTTTCCACCATCCTTGCACACCTAAAGTCGAAGAAAAGATGATGAAGCTGAGATGAAGAACTCAAAATCGAGAGAAATTGAAAACAGAATCAAACTGGACTGGATTTGGGGGTTAGGGTTTATAATAAGGGTGCATTTCTAAAGAGGTTTTGGGGAAATTTGAGTCGGATAGGATTTTTATTTGAATTTTGAACTTTGAATTCTGATGTCTCTTGAGTTTGATTGAATTTTGAAGAGGTTTGATTTGTATTGATTTAATGGGAATAAATATAATAATATAAATATAAAATAATTTGTATAATTTAATTTTAAATTTATATTATATTTATATATGTATTTTTAAATTTTTATTTATTTATATTATAAAAAATTATATTTTAATATATATTATATATATTTTATTAAATTATAATTATTATAATATTTTTTTATATTTATAATTTTAAAAAAAAATCTTTCCCTAAACCTCTCCAATCTACTTTTGGTCTAGATCACTGTGCACAGTGATTCAGTCCAAAAGTGGACCGGAGAAACAGACCTAGAGTGTTAGATTGTGATGTATCAATTTTTTTAAATAAAATAATTATTAATTATATATAAATATTAAGTATTTTTACCATCTCAATTCCGATTTATTTACGAAATTTTAATTTTATTACGTGGAGTCCCCGTCCTCCTCTCATTGCCCCTGCATCCATCGATCACACCTTCCGCAACCCTGCCGTCGAACACGCCGACCGTCTCTGCTGCATTTGACGTCTTCGATTCCCCTTCCATTTACACCTCCAAGTAAAACTAACATTTTAATGGCGGAAGCAACGGAATGAGATCTCAAGCCTTCGAATATGTTCGTTTATTATTGAGGTCAATTTTACAATCCTTTTTGTACCCCTTCTTATTGCAACAATAGTGAATATATTACATATGACAATTATTACTTTTTGGTTTTTTTTTTTTTTGTATTTGTTTTTCTATGACAAACTCTCGTCTATATGTGTATTTACAATACGACTTGTACGCATTATTTGAGCTCGATAAAAATGCATTTCATTGTACTATTGGAAGCATAATTCCTCAATTGTTTTGACTAATAATTCAATAATTTATGTGTGCGACTATTGGTACGTTGAATGACTAATATGATCATAATGCATATATCTTTACAATATGATATTAAGAAGATAAAAATATGATGTAATAAAAATTCTTCGATATGTTAATTTCGCGATAGATGAAAAAATATATATATATATATCGATATTTGTGTTCCCTTGATTTATTCGAAAATAAAGCACAGCTTTAATTATTATATTAATTAAATTACATATTTATCTTTATTTGCAATTTTATACATTAATCAATAATTTCATCAAACATATGCCAATATTGAATTCCGGAGCATACTCGTACCATATTTTTAGATATTATTGAATTCAATAGTAAAAATTGAATAACTATTTCAAAAGATAGCTAAATTGTACAAAATTTACACGTAATTTCATAAAATTGCATAAAATCTCCTGTATTTCTAAAACTGCGTCAAACTCTCTCGTGGTTTCATAAACTCTGCATCTAACTCCTTCGGTGGTCCGTATTTAACGCTATTTAACATAAATGCGGTCAAACTGCGAATAAATTTTAGAATCTCAAATTCTAAACCCCTAAAATTACAAATATATTCGTTTTTTTGTTATATTTAGCCTAACAAATAGTAAATATACTCAATAATAATAATAATAATAATAATAATAATAATAATAATTTTTTTCGGGTTTTAAAAGATTATTTTTACTGTTTTTTTTTTTGACTAAATATAAGAAATATAAATATATTTGTAATTTTAGGGGTTTAGAAATTGCAATTGTTAAATTTATTAGCAGTTTTGGTGCATTTAAATCAAATACCATTAAATAAGGACAGCCAAATGAATTAGAATATAGTTTATAAAATCACGAAAAAATTTGATGCAGTTTTATAAATATGAAGAATTTGACATAATTTCGTTAAAATTTCAAGTGAATTTTGTACAATTTAGCATTTTTTCTATAAAAATAAAAATAAAAATCCGACAAACACCAAATTAAGACTATGGTTACAATAATTACAAACAACTTATATTGACGCAATAAATTCCGCTATTCTAATAATGCAGTCTAATAAAATTCTCTAAATATTCATTTATTATATAATAAGTAATATCATAATCAAATAATTAATGAAAAATTAATTTCTATTTAAAAAAGAAAAAACTTTTTGAGAATAGATAAAATGCAAATTCATTTATTTTTAAAATTTGCTCCAAGTAAATATTAAAAATCTCATAATTGGTCAATATGTAATTAATGAATTTTAAACGTAATAAATACTTCATCCCTTTTATCACTAAGAGCATTATATAATTAATTCCCTAAATTCGAAAAAAATATACTCCCTTTCTTCCTTCCGTATTGAATATTTGAATATTAATTATTATATCAAAATATATTATAAATTAAAATAAAATAATAAAAATAATTTTATTACTATCGTATAATACTAATACAGTGATATTTATAAAAAAAATTATACAATTATATATATACTGCACAAATACTTCCTCCGTCTGCAATATTTTTTTTTTTGGTATGTCTAAAAAAAAGGATCTGCAATATTAGAAATAATTAATTTAACTTAATCTCTATCAGACACTTTATCCTCTAATATTATCCAAATAAAAAAATAAAATATATATTTCTCTTTCTATAACATCATTTAATTTTTAAATTATCATATTTAATGCTATACACCTAAAAATTTGTGTCAAAAGCAAATATTGCAATTGTTTGAGACGGAGTAGTAAATAAATACTTGTTGCCGTAGGAAGTATATGCAGTGGAGAAAATAATTCAAAGGTTTCTGGACTAGAGATCCTGGAGTGCAGAAACCGTCGATTTAAACACTCCCTCAAACGAACGGTCCGATGTGGGCAGAACCCGCAGTCCAGAATGATTCTGTCTGAGTGTGAGTGTGTGTATATATATATTGTATTTCCTTCGGTTCCCTCTATTCCAATTTCAAAAAAGCAATGGAGCCATCGGCACCAGTGACGCCCCAACTTCTGTCTCTCTCTCTATATCTGCTCTCTCTCTCTATTTGCTCTTCTCTCTCTTCTTTTAACGTAATAATTCAATTCAAATTATAATGAAATTCCGTGATTTCGCATCATTGTTGAGATATTTACATATACAGATTTATATCTATATATATGTCTAGGTGTATGTATGTATATGTGGAGAGAGAGGAGGTGTAAATGTTACTGTTTTGGCTATCTGCTCAGAATAAGGAAAGGGAAGCGGTAGGGTTAGCGGCGAAAGCGATGGGGTGTTTGTTCGGCTGTTTTGGTATCAAGGAATCTCGCTCCGTTCCAGCTCCTCCACAGGTAAGATCTGGATTTTGTTTTGATTTTTGCGGCTGCGTTGCTGTTTCTTTTTTTCCTGCTGCCAAAATCGCGTGTTTGTTTGTGGATGACGGTGTTTTCCTTTTATGCGAGGTGATGTGGAGAGCTGCACAGTAAACATTCTTTGTTTTTGTTCTATTTTTTAAGTGATTGATTTGATTTTGTGCAGGAGGTGGCCGTTTCTCGCAGTAAAAATGCACTGTCGTCGTTGTTTGTTTCTGATGGTAATATTTTGCGCTTCGTAATCCTTTTTTTTGGTTAATGTAAACTTGTACTGGTTAAATGCTATTGTAATTTGCTGATTTTGTTTATGATCGAATGAATAGATGAAACACTTCTAAAAGGAGAGGAAGGTCAGAATCCAGTGCTTCGACAACATGACATCAAGGAGCTCAACAGCGAGGTATTTTCTCTGTTCAAACTCTTCTAGATAGCTTTCATCGGTGGAAACCAAAGAACATCTGCAATTCATCTGTGTATTTCATTAATTTGAAAGCTAACAATGAATATACCTACCATTCAACTTATTTTTTTCTCAGTAATGTAGATGAATGTGCGTGCACTTACTTTCAAAGTATTGAAAAAATATGTTTAGATCGTTTCTGAGGTGCGTAGTAGTTTAAATTTCTGGTTTGAAACATGTTTCAGACATTTTGAGGTAGATCTAACTTCTTGCTATCAAGAAAAATGCCAGTTAGATAAAAGCAATCCCTCTGTCTCTGTCTGCTACTGTTGCGTGATTAAATTGGCTTCTGATTGTTCTGCTGCTGCAGGTAAAGTTTATCAAAACAACTGAAGTTCAAAAGGATTTGGGAAAAGAGAATGATGTGACATCTTACAATGGAGAAGAAAATTCTTCAAAATTCACTTCATGGTTTTCGAATGCATCCATTGATAAATTGAAACAGGAGAAGGAATCTTTTGGTTCCCCGGTAGCCGTTAAAATTCACGACGACTGTGTTACTGGATCAGGATCTCCCAGCAGGTACCATTCCCATTCCCACCTGGTGTAAGACATCAATTACTCGTATGCTCGATTCAAACACTTACAGGCATGCCAAGTTTCACAGTTTTAAGTATTAGTGAAGCTTCTTGATTTGGTTAACATGCTACCAATAGTCATATTTCCTCGTAATTGTATGGAAATATAATAAATAGCTTCTATGGCTTCTTTTTTTCTTCTCTTTTGTTTTAGTTTCATCAGTACTGATAAATGGGGTATAAGAACTCTTGAACTTACTCCCTAATTTGTGTTCTGTTTAGTTGCATGACGGATGGACAAAACACGGGCCGAGTCTCAAGCACCTCCTACCAAAGAAGTGTTCACAATGCCGTTGCATCATCCGATATGCAAGGCAGCGAAACTCGTTCTGGAACCTCATCCATTTCGCCCCTGCCCTTTCCTAAATTCCCAACCAAATCAGCTCATTTTACATTTGAATCCAACCGATCTAGCTTTTCATCTGAGGGCTCTTCATATGAATGTGTTAGCAATTGTTGGAAACAATCTGGCTTCACGGGAGACAAAACTGTACCACAGCCATGCCCGTATCCAACACCTTTGAAATTAACCGATGAAATGCAAACTCCGGGCACCGAAGTCCCTCCTTACAAAGATGATGCATGCAGTCAGGAACTTCCCAACAACAGATCTCAGCGTGCATACTATGTCTGGAATCCGGTCTTAAACTTCTCAGCTTCGGACAACAAAAGCTCTTCAAACGACTTTAGAGAATCAGATGAAGATACTTTGATCCCAACCCCGATGTTGGGACCACCAGCACCTGAGGATGACAGAAGCTTATCATCTTGGTTCAAACTAGTTTCCATGAACCAAGGCGGCCTTAACAAACGATTCGATTCTGTTTCGGCTGAAAAAGTTGGTGCTAAAACTCCCGGAGACAGGCCCATTATAGGTATGGTTGCAGCTTACTGGAACAAAGAGGAAGAGCCTCATATTCCGCCTAAATGGTGGGATGGAAATGGCATTCCAAATTCGACTAACAAGTACAAAGAGGTAACTTTGGTTTCTTTATCTTCCATTTCTCTCTATTTCTACTGATTTTTCCGCTTCCTGCTATTAAACAAACTATGTCGACGTTTACTTCACAGGATCAAAAAGTTAGTTGGCACGCAACGCCCTTCGAGGAGAGACTAGAAAAGGCACTGTCTGAAGAAACTTGTGTAACTCGAAGGTATCATTTGTTGCTAATTTGTTCCGTAAATATTCTAATGAGTCGAACTTATAACCTAAACTCATGTATAGTCTGTATTCGAGCATGCATTATCTTAAATAGACATTGTCCCAAGCTTCTTAGAATAACATAGATATACTATATAGATGATCGAGAGCTGTCTTGTTGGGAGTCGACTCGAGGTTGCACATGTATTGTAACTAAATTTATGTTGTTGCTGCTTCCTAATCCCCAAAAAAATAAATGTTGGTTTGTTCATACCATCTGCCTTGCAAGATTCTAAAATCGAAAACTCTTCATTTTTGTAGGAAGCCCGTCGACAGCCCTCCTCCAGTGGACTTCGATGAAACTGAGGAATCCGACACTGCCTTGTCCCGTCTGCAGTCCACTTCAAAGCCCTGACGAGCACCGGCGAATCCGGCATTCGATTATCTCTGTGAGTTCCCTGTGTTTTTTGTCATATATTTTTGTTCCAGCAAACATTGGTATGCTGTCAGCTTCTCTGATGGTCTGAACTCTATAGATATATACATATATATATATGTGTGTGTGTTTGGTATGGGTTTGAAGGTGTGTGTGATATGTATAATCCAGGTGATCTTCCAATACTTTGCCAAGATCTGATCTTCAATGAAAATGGTGGGAATGGCTTCTTAATTTAAATATGTGATAGATTTTTATATCAAATTTATTAAATGATTTACCATCATGTATTTAGAAAATGGATCCCATGCGATTAAAACTTTTTCTTATTTTTTTATATTTTAATAAAAATAATTATATTAATTAATATAATTAATAGGTTACCATTAATATTATATAGGTATTATTTATATATTATATAGATAATTTAATATATTCATTGAATAATTTTTATATATATATATATATAAGAGATAGGTGTGGGGTTCACTGCACCAAATTTTTTTTGTCAATTTTTTTTTATTTTTTAATAAAATAAATATGTATTAAATGTTATCAAGTAAGTATATCATAATTAATAAAATAAAATAGATATTTATTTTACACTTATTATTATTATTATCTTTTAACTTTGAATTTGACTTGTAATGCTGTATATATTTATAGATGGTACAAAAAAACAGTGTAAAATATAGTATCTATTTATCTTCATGTTATATTGGGTGTGTTAGTATTTTATTTCAAATAAAAATTAATATTATCAAAAGATATTATATTCCTTTTGTATGGTGTAAGTGTATATATTTTGTTATTTTTGTCTGTTTTATAACAATGTATATATATATTTAGTAATTATGGACTTTATTATTTAATATAAATACTACTATTTTATTATATATTTACTATTATATTAAAAAATAAAAATAAAATTATTTTTATATTATTTTGAATTACTCATTAAGTATTATTATTTTTTAAATTTTGTAAAAAAATTTAATATATATCTTAATACTGGATTGAGGGAATATACTATATATATATTGTGAAGATTGATTTGCAAAATTCAATTTATATAAATTGTTAAATAGTATGTTAGAGAATGTCTTCAATATTATGGTATAATTTTGTTGGGATTTGCTAAATAATTCTAGAAGAAAACAACTTTAGTGATGAGCACAATCAAGGTTATTTAAAGTTTTAAAATTTGAGTAAAAAATTGTAATATATTAAGCAATAGGCAATTTTTAGGGATGACAATGGGTCGGGTCCAATCGGACTAGAGACCTGTTCTGAATATACATGGTTGGATTCGAGACCTAAATTGAATTTGATTATACTCGGATTCGACCTGAATAATACACGACAAGACTTCGTAGACTCGAGAGACTCAAAAGAAATCTTTTACAATTATTAAAAATTTAACTTAAAATAGAATTTGAATTCGGATCTGGACCAGATATCCCATTAATTGAACCCGAATCCAAATAAATGGGTCGGGCACGGGTTCCATTGTCATCCCTAGCCATTCTAATTCATAGATTTTGAGGCTCTTGATTGGTTTATAATCGTTTGCTTCTTGTTGGCGTCATTTTTTAATTTATTAATGCGAATATGTATGATTATATTGATTGTTTATTTCTTTTAATAATTTCACAGGATGTGTTCTTTCGTGAGTTTTAATATAGTTTTTTACTATTCTAATTTTTCTTTCTCTTTAAAAATATCAAATTAAACAATTATTATTATTTTTATATTATACTACACATTTATTTTACATTTAAAATATTAGATCAACATGTATTCGTCAAACTAACTTTTCAAATTCAACTTTTTACTATTTATAAATCCAAAACTAAAACCCCAAATTCACAAACAAACACACCCTATAGATTTTATAATAGAATTAATATGATTCACACGGTAATTACATATTTATAGAGTTTGTTTGTCTTTTTATTTTTTCTATTTTTAACTGAAAGTTATTTTAATATAAAATAAGTTATTTTTTTTTATAAAATATTAAATTAAAATATTATTTAAATAAAAATTCAAATTAATATTTTATTTGAAATTATTTTCAATCCACGGCCAAATAAACCTATAATATTATATAATTTATATTAATATAATATAAAATTAATTAGTACATGAATATAGTTTATATAATGTATACTTATTTGTACAATTAATTTAAATGTTTTACATAATAATCAAGTATAATGTGTATAATTTATAACCACCAAATGAATCAATTTCCCAACCCTAACTCGAGTCCCAAAAATAAAATAATGACAAATGTTGTCTAGTAAAGAATGACGTAATAGTGAGAGACTGAATATATGACCCTAACGTCATATATTTAAATATCCGTTGTAGTTCGCTTAATATGCGTTATCTTGTCGGACCTGATTTATATATTATGCATTTTCGTGTAACGGCTCCCACGTCATTTAAATAATAATGACATATTTTTATTTATTATTTATTATTTTAATTTTAATAAATTATAGTATATGAATTGCAGTCTACTTCCCAATAAACTTAATTGATAGAACAATCAAAATCTAATTAGGGTTTAGAGCATGAGAATATCTTTGTTGTCACTTGTAGAGTTCTATTTTATTTATTTATTATTTATACTCTCCCCGTCCCATAAATAGTTTTAATTGGATTGGATACGAGATTTAATAAATATTGATATTATATTGGTAGCTGGTAAAAAGTATGGATAAAAGACTTTTTTGCCCTTATGAGTGTATTAGTGTAAAAAGTAGTGGCAATTGTGTAATAAAAATAAAAAAGTATGGTGATATGATTATTTATGGAAATAAGACTATTGTTTTGGGACGAACAAAAATGGTAAACAAGACTATTGTATTGGGACGGAGGGAGTACCATGTGTATTACTATAGAGTTGAGATGAATAGATTAATTATACTATTTATGTAAATAATATGTATTTTTTTAAAAAAAATTATTTAAAAATTAAGAGCACATATTGTGGTTCAAATCGACGACTTCACTGTTTGACTTGCGGTCCTGTCTTCTCTGTCGATGATTTTTTAGTTTGCAGCAGCTTTCTTTTCTATAGTAAAAAAATCGACAGACTTGGGAAAGGGTTGGTGCAGGTAAGGTAGCATCGAAACAATTTGTAACATCTTTTTCTCTCTATAATACGGCCGTGTTCTTTATAAATATGTACACAGATGTGTTTAAGAGTATACATTACATTGTTTTATAAACACAACCGTGTTTAATATACATAACCTTATTGAAGTCAAGATTTAAAAATAAAATATAATTATTATGTGTTTAAACATGGACGTGTTTTGACAAACATCTGCATATTCTGTTTAATGTATTTGTGAACCATTGTACGTCTTTTTTTGTTCTTCCAAAACCACACAAGGTAGAAGAGAGGAAGAAGGCAAAGACATTTTGGTCGTTGTGTGTGCTCTAAGTGTGCCGAGAAGAAGACTCTTAGCATGTGAAGTGATTCTAAATAGAATTGCATTTCAAAGTATTACAAATTTCTTATAAACAATATATTACTTTTTTCATTGCAAAAAATATCATATTTAAATTGGTATTTCAATCAAACTTTAAAATCAAACACAACTTGTATTATAATTTTTATAGTTATGTTAACTTTTTAATAACATAAATAGAATTTGATGTGTGTGTTTGGTTTTTATTTCAAATTTAGGTTTTGATTTGAAATTTAAATTAAATAATTTTTTAATGTGATGTTATATGAAAGTAAATAGTGTATTATATATATATATAATACGCTGTCGAGATTGTTTGGGGGTTTGGATTTTGAGTTGAGATTTGAATAATAAAATTTTTGAATTTGAATAGTTGTATGATGTGATATAAATAGGTGTTGATGTGATGTTTTGAATGTAAAATTGATTTTTAGTATAATATAAAAAATAAAAAATAGGTGTTTGATTTGATATTTGGGAGAAAAAAATAAGATGAATAATAAAAATCTAATCAAATCCCCCAAACAAACACACCCTATGTATATTTTGTTGAAATCATATATAAGACAAACTAACTTGATGTTTTTATATTTGAAATTAATATTTTTATTTATCACATTACATAAATCCATCCATTGTATCAGTAAATAAACATATGAATATAAATTAACACTCCATCCGTGAATCAATTTATACATTTTGTCAAATTGATCTATCGGAAATTAATTTGTCCGTATATATATATATACATGGTTCGCCGGGTCCGACTCGGCCGATCCGAAACCGGAACGGTCAGGAACGTTCCGGTTCGTAAAAAATATCCGATATTTGCCCAAAATTTTCCCATCCATTCATATCTCATCTATAAAACCCATTATAAATCTTATTCTTACCGATTTTCTACTTTTTATTCATATTATTCGAACAATTCATCTCAATTCGATCAGATCGGAGAAGAAAACATTTACCAGTGCGCTGAAGAAGAATCGTGGAGGAAAGACCTCTGTTCTGCGTTCGCGTCTGAAGAAGAATTGTGGGGGAGGGGAAGAAGAAGTGGGAGGATTCTGCGTTCGCGTCGGTGAAGAAAATCGTGGGGGAGGGGAAGTTGTTCGCGTCTGAACGAAATCGTGGGGGAGGGGGAAAGTTCTGCGTTCTGGGTTCTGCGTTCTGGGGGAGGGGAAGAGTTCTGGGTTCTGCGTTCTGGGGGAGGGGAAGAAAGGAGGAAGGTAAATTTAATTATTATATTATTTTAATTAATTTAAATATTTATAAATTTGAATTATTTTTTATTAATTTGTTTATTTAATTTATAGGTTTAATTATTTTAGATTTAATTATTTAGAATAATTTGTTTAATTTATTGATAAATTTAGTTTAATTGTGTTGGATTGTATTTAATTTTTATTTAATCTATATAAATTGAGTTCATTAAAATTAATATTTTAGAATAACTTATAATCTTATTATTTAAAATTAATATTATTTTAGACAAAATTTGTATTAATTGTAAATTTATTGTAAAAAATTAATATTTTAACTATATTTTTTATATAAACAAATTAGTTATCTACTTAAATTTTTGTATAAGTTTGATTTATTAATAAACTAATATATAATTTGTCTATTTAATTAATGAATTACTATTTATAAATATTTTAACAATTGTATTATTCAATTACAGAGTTTGTGTAAAATGGCACCGCACAGAGATATTGGTTGGGATCATGCTACTCCTATCAGCAATGATAGAAAACAAGCAAAATGCAATTATTGTGGTAAAATTGTTCACGGCGGAATTACTAGGATGAAACAACATATAGCACATGTTACAGGTCAAGTTGAAGCATGCACGAGAGCTCCAAAAGAAATAAGAGAGTTATTAAAAAAACACTTGATCCAAGGAAAAAGTATGCGAGCAGCACATAAAAAAAAGTTAGAAGCATTGCAAAATTCCATTCGTTTGGAAGATGATTCTGATGAGGAAGAAGATGAAGTTTTTGAAATAAATGAAGATGAGATAGATGCTGAAAGAAAACACTTAAAAAGAGCAATGGCTGAAAGCAGAAATATGGAATTTATGGAGCAGCAGCGTAGACATTCTGTTTCCGGAGATCTACCAAGCTTGAATTTTAAAGCCGGTATATTTATTAAATTTATAAAATATATTTAAATATTAGTATATTTTTTTTGAGATAACAACCATATATGATCATATGCTTTTTTTTTTTTTTTTTTTTTATCTTTGTAGGAGGAAGCAGCTTGAATACAAAAGGAAGTAAAAGAAATTTTTTCGAAAGCTCTATGAAAAAGACAGAAGGTTTGCATTAAAAAAAACTTGATCCATACATGTTTCAATCGAAGAATAAGTCTTTGAAAAATATGTTTTCAAAAGATAATGCAAAAAAAGTGGGTAGAGCAATTTCGAAATTTTTTCATTTTAATGCAATACCATTTCACGCTGCCGATAGTGGTCCTTACTACCAAACGATGATTGACACGATTGCATCGGTTGGACCTGGAGTTAAAGGACCTACTGGTAAACAAATTGGTGGTGAATATTTAAACGAGGAGATGCAAGAAGTTGTACAGTATGTTGATTCTTTAAAGCAGAAATGGAAAACATACGGATGTACAATTATGTGTGATGGTTGGAGTACTCGTACAAAACATCCAATCATAAATTTTATGGTGTACTGTGATAGAGATATGATATATCACAGTTCGGTTGATTGTACAAATAAGGCGAAGACTGCGGACTTTGTCTACACCCTAATGGATAAGGTGGTGGAATCAGTAGGGGTTGACAATATTGTACAAATTGTAACTGATAGTGAAGCTAGTATGAAGGCGGCTGGGAAAAAACTGATGAGGAAAAGGAAGCACATTTTTTGGTCTCCATGCGCAGCGCATTGCATTGATTTGATGTTAGAAGACATCGGAGATATATTGTCAGTGAAAGATACGATAAAAGAAGCCAGAAGAATTACAGGATTTATATACAACAGTGATAAAGTGGTTAATTTGATGAAAACATATACGAATGGCCGAGATCTGTTGCGACCAGGCATAACAAGATTTGCAACCGAGTTTGTTGCAATGGAAAGTCTTCTGAGATATGCAACCGATTTGAAAAGAATGTGTACTTCTAGAGAATGGGTTGAGTACAATAATACCTCGAGGAGAAGACATGAAGCCGGAGATATATCAGACTTGATTTTGAATGAAAGATTTTGGAAACGGATACGCTGAGTCTGTGGGGTCATGGAACCCTTAGTGAAGGTTTTAAAAGTAGTTGATCAAGATAAAAAACCTACACTACCTATCATTTATGAGGCAATGGATAGGGCAAAAATGGCAATAAAAACCGCGGTGAAAGATTTTCAACAATATTGGGATATCATCGATGAAAGATGGTATAATCAATTGCATCAAGATTTGCATGCAGCAGGTAACTATTCTTGTTATTTTTTTGTTTTTATATTGTGCTAATCGTTTGTTTTATTTTTTAATTTTATATACATTTCATGCAGCTTATTTTTTAAATCCTGGTCTTCAATACTCCGGCACTTGTGAATTTGATTCATCGGAGGTTCGAAAAGGAGTAAAAGAAGTTATCAAAAGACTCGAGCCAGATTTGGATATACAAGTAAAGGCTATGAATGAGGTAAATTATGTGAAATTTATAAATAATATATAAATATATATATATTAATTTCTAATAATTTTACTATTATATTGTCTATAGATAAACATATTTGTTAACAAAATTGGAGAGTTTGGAAGTGCACTTGCTATTAGAGCTGTATCTACATCTTTACCAGGTATGTATTATGAAATTTATCATTTAATTATATTTTTAAATATACTTGTTATAAAATGTTGCATTATTAATAATTTTTTATTTATTTTTAATAGCTGACTGGTGGAATATGTACGGTGATGAAGCTCCTAGTTTAAGAAAAATTGCATTAAAAGTTTTGAGTCAAACTTGCACATCATCGGGTTGTGAGCGGAATTGGAGTACGTGGGCTTTGATCCATACTAAACTTCGGAATAGATTAGCTATTGAGAAACTGCATAAGCTAGTCTATGTCCACTACAACATGCGTCTTCGGGTAAAAAATTTTATGCAAAGGACAGACACAGACGATTTTTATGACCCAATTGATTTGAATCATATTTTTGATGAAAATGATATTTTAGATGAATGGGTTAGAGAAAATGAATCTCCACTTATTCGTGATAGTGATTTGAATTGGTTGGATGAGGCTATTGAAGAAAGTGGAGATCGAGGTCAAAGTGAGCATAATGATCATGACAGTGATATGCTTTTATCTCAATTTATAGCTGATGGAAAAAAGAAGGCGAAAGAGAAAAAATCAGAAAACAAAAATACGGCCAAGAAAAAAAAAGCAATCATATTGGAATCTTCATCTTCATCGACTAATGGTGAAGATAAGAATAATAACAATGATGATGATGATGATGATGATGATGATGATGATGATGGTGGTGGTGGTGGTGGTGGTGGTGGTGGTAGTGGGAGCTACAGGGATAGCCGATACTCAAGTGATATGGGATGGGCTCAAGGAAATGAAAATTATTATGCTACCCAAGACACTGGTCATGGATATCGTCCTGGTATAGAAGCTCAAAGAGATTTTCTAAATAGTTTAACAGAATTTTCAAGTGAAGCCGATGCTTCAAATTTTTCAGATACTAGGAGATATTCTGGAGTTCACGAACATATGCAAGACTTGAATATAGGTTATTCCTATGGAGATTCTTCTCATAGCTCGAGTAATAGATTGGGGAGACAGGAGTGCGACCAACCAAATGCATATCATAATCCCTATTACTCAGGATACGGTTTATCTAATCTACCCAGACATCTTCAGGATTCAGCCAATCTTCCTATATTTGGATCCAACCAACCAGTTGGAACATATTACGGAGGGATTACATCTGGTTCGGGTAGTATTGATGATCGTAGACAAAATTATGGTTCATCAAGCAGAAGCAATGATAATAGAGAATATCGAGGTTTTGATGTATATGGAAGGGGTTCATTCAGAGAAAATCAATATGGTTCGAACATCTCTCCTTATCCAAGCAATATGAATCCAGAACAAGGATATTCGTAATATAATCGATCAGCAGATGAAAATGATTTTGAACCTCCACGACATTCCACATGGTATTGAATGGTAAGTATAAATATTTAGTATAAACGTAGTTTGAACATTTTATAAAATTTTATTTGTATTTTTTTTCTAATTATTTTTATTTATATAATGCAGATGATAAAGATGAAATCTTGACATTGACGGACACAAGGTACATCATTTTGTTATTAAAATAAATTTATTAGTATAATGACAATATGCAAAACATAAAATTTAGCATTTACATTTATATATATATATATCCGCTAATTTAGTTGAAATATTATTCATTTTAAATTTTGATCTATTATAAATTATAATATATTTTTTCAATAATATATATTTTTAAATTAATTATATTTATAATTTGATGTATTTTAATTAATTATTTATTATTTTTTTGAAAAAATATAAATTTTATATAAAAAAATCATATAGGCCGATATTTTACCGATACGCCGCGACCGATACGCCGCGACGTATCTGGAACGGTAAAGGCCGATCCGCGACGCCGATCCGCGACGGCGAACCATGTATATATATATATATATATTTAAGTAATTGTGGTCCCATGAAAATAAACAAAATTCTTATATTTTAATTATCATTACAATAATATCACCATTTATTTTAATTAGTGAAATATTAAAATAAAATTGAAATAATTTATTTTTAATTTTTTTTTTATGATGAATATTTTATATTTTAAAATTAATTTTGGAAAAAAAAAAAATTGTATCAATTGTAGAACCGTAATTATATGTAACAATAAAAAATAATAAAATAGTTTTAATAATGTCAACATAATTAAACAATAAAAACATGATGTACCTATAAAAATTTTGATTTGAATAATATTTTATATAAAATTTTTGGAAAAGTAACTAAAAAAAAAACATAAATTGATGTTATCCCCAAAATATATTTAAGAGGGGTTTAAAATTTATCAAACCCAAAGGCCTACCCAGAACCTAATGTGGCAGCCCAACCCAAGCACACAGGCTCAAGAAGCAGGTTGCCTAGTCTAGCCGAAAATCCAAAATCAGGCCCAATAACTCGAGTAAGACCCAGCCCACAAATGAAGTCTTGCAACCGTAGATAAAGGATAGTGGAGAAGTGAAAAAAGTTAGTTCCTACAAATTGGAAAAAGTGGAGTAATTTTTGGGATATATATATATATATAAATAAGGCAAAAGCAACGGTACGGGAGGGATACAACAACTCATGATCCAGAAGAGCAAATTCAATTCTCTTATCTCTATTTTTTCCTGCAATATTATTGCTTTCTCATTTAATTTTCTTTTTTCTAAATTCCTATCGAATTTGTTTTACCCAATTCAATTCCATTTCAATTCAATTTCATCAATTTCATTACTTCAAATTATAGATCAATTTATTTTTGTGTGAAACTTAGCATGGATATTTTCTTGAGTAGGCCGGGGAACTCAATTCTTGTCGAGTTCAATTGGCCTAGAATTTTTGGGCTGTCATCGACGAATTTCAGCATCTACAAATTGGCACGCTTAGTGGGACTCCGACGAAGTCTCGCATTTTTTTTGCAATTAAAGAGTCACAAATTACCATTGCCGGAGAAATCTACAATGTCTAAAGATAAGGAAACCACCGGTGAAAACTTCAGCGTCACGCGCACCCAAAGAACTCATGCAGGATGAGTCCTTTGCTTCTTCGGGGAGTGGAGAAATCATGCTGACTATTCTTGCAAGCAATCTTCAAAATCAGATCTTCCGGGAGATCCAAACAGCCTTCCACAAGTCTGCGTTGACACTCTCTAAATATCTCGCAGACGTCCTGAAGCCAACTATCCGAAACAAGATTGCATGGGCGAGAGAGGAGGAGCTGCACAAAGGTAAAGTGCTGGCGGCCGGTCCCGGAGATATGAAAACGCACCTCCAACGAAGGTAACACAGGGGGGCACGTCTGGACACCCTTCAACGACGCTCCAATATGGTAACTTCACACCATACTAAGCAAGGAAAACGAAAATAAAAATCTCCCCGACGAAACATTGGTTGAAGAACCTAGGCGATCCTCAAGGCAGGCCATCTTAAGGCCACCGCCACATTAGGTACATCCGGGGAACAACGGGTATACGCCATCGGCCGCCCAATAGCAAAACAATCATTTTTTCGGTGGCATGAGTGCCCTCACATCACCCGCGAGGGCAGACGGTCAAGAAAATGTCCGTGTAGAAGGAGGAACTGCTGACCCTTGGGGGGCACGGCCGACCACAACCTCAACACCTCCGGCCTCTCCTCCCGCTCTGAGGATGACTTGGGGGGGCATCCCCCCCACCTCCGAACCTGCCTTAAGGGGCCACTTCTGCTTCTCCGGGTCCATGGGATTCAGCTCCGTCAACTCTAGCAACTGCTTGAGGCTCGAGTGCATCAACTCCGGCCATACCTCCTCCATTCGGGGGGCAGACAACATACCAGGAAGCTCCCCCGCCGGACTAGCTGCACAACAGGGATATGGACCTGCATAGCAGGGTTCCCTGATTCATTTTGGAAATTTTGTCCCTCCACCGACAGAACCTCCGCGAGTACCAACCGAGCGGAATCAAGAGCGTCCACCTCCGGCTCACCATCCACAGGGCCATCAACAATACTTTTCTCGCGTCCAACCCGGCCCGGGACAGCCTGGAGGATAAGCCAAAATTGCTCATCCGCTGCGACCAATTATTAATCCGCAGGTCATCAAGGAAACAATCCAGAGGCTATGTGGCGATCCTATTCGGTTTCCCGCTCAGCTACATTATCAACGTCCATTCCCGGATCAGATTTCCATTGACAACTCGCTCTTCTGGAATGCATGGGTTTCAGAATTCACGTTGTTCTCGGGCGAGGATTCACGGTCCACCATTGAATACATCGGCCGGTTCACAACACAGCGCAGAGGAGAATTTGAGACCAACGATTGGTTCAAACTCCAACTACTCACGTTGTCCCTCACAAGTCCGGTATTTATGTGGTATGCGTCTCTGCCGCCAAATTTGTGTAACACGTGGCGATCTCGAAAGGGTGTTCCACGAACGCTTTTATAGCCCATTGGCGAAAGTGACGGTCT